TACTAGGGGAATGTCAATTGGCTGAAGTCTTTGGCAGCTTTCTCCATAAATATGACAGTGTATCAAACTTGAGTCCTGCCAAGGTTTAAGCCTCTGAGCACGAAAGCATGAGACTGGTGCTTCATTGATAATTTGAGGAGCTCTTCTGTATGTATATTTCAGTATTGCCTTCATTGAACAGAATAGAGTTATTCATGCTGTCAAAACTGTTTTAACCTATGAGTTTTATATTTAGAAGTTTACCCGCTTTTAAATAAGGGAATTCATAGCATCATCCCATAGTCAGGCGCCAGGAAATGTACTTGGCTTTGCACGTGAATATAATAATAACACTCCTTGCATTTGATATAGTGCCTTAGCAGGCCGTCAAGACATCTCAAAGCGCTTCACAGGATATGAAGTGAATTGACTGTATTTTGTGGGCAAAATGCAGCAGCCAATTGCATGCAGCAGTGTCCCACAAACAGCTGTGAATTGATTTTTTTTGAGGGATTATTACTCTCGGAAAGCGATCGACCATTCAGTTCCTACTTAATGTTAAGCGCTCTGAGATGCTGCCCTGCATGGAGGGCGCTATATAAGTGCAGGTTGTTGTTGTTGTTACTGCTAGATCAACAGATGTATATAAATATGTTAACCACTCTTTGTGGACATCCTGATCAGGCAGGGATTTTTTTTTGCAGTTGAAGACTGCAGCAAAGATCGGATTCTAATCTGCGAGGTTTGCAAAAGAATGTATGAAATGACAAATCCCCGATGTGTTGAGGCCAACTTTCTTGTACTCCACTGGGACACCGACTTGACTGGGATAGGCGACCAAATGAAGTATGAGGGTTGGCATCAATACATCTGAGGTTTGCTGTATACAAATCCAAATGAGACCACTGTCACAGTCAGCATGTTAGCCTGATATTATACAGCCACAACTGCGTTATATATTGACTTGTTTGTTGACCAGCTGTCTTGTACAAGGACCAGTCCTTTGAATCGGGTAATGTGATGGCAGTGGGAAATTGTTTAATTGTGATATGTTCAACATCAGGAAATGTCTGAATCTTGAGTCAATAATCCGATAGTGAAAACGACAGATCCGATTTTCATGCTGTCAAAAAATCCCAGAAAGAGAATTGAACTGTGGCAGTTTATAGATATTAAGTGTGCTGCCTTCGCATATAAAACAGCTGTCAGGAAGTTCCAGAATTAGTGGGTATTCAGTATTACTTTAGCAATCTTTAAATAACAAAATTAATCAGAGAAACTTTATCTACATGTGCATGGATTTGAAAATGTCTTTGCCAAGGATATTGACCAGACTTCGTTAATTTAAAGGAAAATTACTGTCTTTGCATCAATTGGGAGCCTTCAAAACACATATTTTGATGTTTTTTCATATCGGTAGAACATGACTCGAGAAAATTTGTGTACTTGACATGTTTTTCAATGTTATTCAAGTATAGACTAATGCAAAATACCGCATTGGTCCTCAGAATATAGATAGAAATAGATTGGAGGTTCCAAACCAATTTTCTTTGGTGATGAATCATCAATATAAATATGAACATAACTGTTCAAAACTAATTTTATCATAGAGGTGGCTAAATAGGGCAGAAATTGTGTGGAGTGGAATCGTGCTGTTATACAAAGGAGCTTGGGTGAGAGAAGGGTCTTTGTTTTGGAGGTAGCTTAGCTCAGTTGGCAGCACTCTCGCCTCTGAATCAGAAGATTGTGGATTGGTACTTTGAAGTGACAGTCTAGGCTAACACTTCAATTTGGGAATGCTGCATTGTTGGAGGCGCCCATTTTTTGGATAAGACATTAAACTGAGGTCCTATCTGCCCATTCAGGTAGGCGTTAAAAGATCCTGTGGCACTATTTGAAAAGCGAAAGGAATTTCTCCTTGGCCAACAATCCCCCACAGAAAAATTGTTCATTCATTTCATGGCTGGTTGTGGGGCATTTCCGGTGTACAAATTGGCTGCCACATTCATCTACAGAATAGTAGCTACACGTAAATCATGTGAAGCACTTTGAGATGTCCAGCTGAAATGAAATGTCATATATCAAATGTGAGGATTATTATAGATTGTAAAGGTAACATAGAGTAGATCAGCATTGAATATGCTTTGTGCTTCGCTTAACCAATAGATGCTAGATGGCTTGGTTGGGAATTAGGGGGAATATTATTTATTCTTTAACACTGTGATCCCCCATATGGATAGGTAGACATGTTTGATATGTATAAAAATCTTTGAAGAGGGGAGGAAAAATGTGAATGTTGTAAACCTGAAAAAACAATAAAATGCAGGAAGTGTTCAATGAATTCTGATGAAGTTGTATCCAAAACATTAACCTTTCCCTTACAGATGCTTATTGACCTGTAGTGCATTTCCAGCATGCTTGGGTTTTGTTATAAACCCATAAATTTGTTTGGAGTGGGGTAGCAAGTTGTCTATCGTTTGCTGAGCGTGATACAGAGCCTATTAATGAGCCATGAGAAAAACTTTGAAAAAATCTGCATGATATCCGTATCCTCTGAGCCTAGGGAGAGTACTAGTATAATTTTTCCTACTACTTTTCCAGCATCAATTTCATACCTTGCTGCATTGACAAAAATTAACACATTTGATGGCAACTTGTCATTTTCCAAGCCTGTCTTGGGAAAGAAAGATGAATAATATCAGGCAGCCAAACCTGAGGTCCCTTGTCACACTATAACAGGACAGCAAGTGATTATGGTTGTAGCATGCCGGGATACTGCTAATCCATTAATTCACGAGAAAGGATGGCACGCTGTTAATGGAGTTGACAGCCCTTACTGAAAGTATTTATACAGTCATATTGCTAATTTATATCATCAGCATGACAAGCATCGCTGTGTGCTGATGAAGCAGAGTGATAAGAAAATGGAAGCAAATAAACTGGCTGGTGCCGTTATATAAAAAAAAGTAATTAATTCAAAGTGTGGAAATTCATAATGCAGAATAAATCAAGCTTTTAATTATCTCACGATAAACTTTGAATGAAGAGTATCAATTAAGTTAGAGCATGATAATTAGCTATTTTTTTTTGGAAGAAGCATTGTTTCTGATGGTGGCATTCTACTTTTAAGCTTCAAAGTTCTTTGCCCAACTTGTTCATATCTGTATCATCAGTGAGTTTAGGAAGTCAGATCACTCGCTCTTGACACCTCCCATCCCCAGATCACTCACTCTTGGCTACTCTCCTTCAGATCAATAACTTTTGGACCCAGGAGCTGACTTATAGCCAAACATACTGTACATACAAATGTTGGTAGAATTGTCCTTCAAACAAATTTTCAAAAGGAAGTCTACAAAACTAATCGAATAGCAAATACCTTAACCTCCTAATGTCCTTATTCTCCCAATTCCACGCAGGGAGCATTGCAGTGTCTGATTTAGCTCGCTATTTAGCCATTCATAAGATAGATTTAAAAGAATAGTGGCCTGTTCTATATCTTATTGTACAACCTGAGGTCAGATTAAGAATGGGTTGATTAACAATTGTGAAAGAGAAGATGGTCAATGAAAGATCCATGCATCAAGCCAGACTTCAATTATTTTAGCAAGAAATAAATGCAGCAGTGTTTAGGCAGCAAGATCCTATTAGTTTCATATAAATATATATTATATATATAAAAGTGAAGGTGACCGAATTAATGGATCAGCAACAAAGTCACAGATGTGTTGTAATGTGTGGTTAATATTTCAAAGAAGCCTGTCATGTTATTTCTTTGCACTATAGTTTTTGGCAGTTCAGGGAGAGAGCAAAGATATCCTGGGGGAGGGCTTTGTGGAGTTGTCCATCAATAAGTCAATTGCTAAAATTTATAGGGAAATAAATTCTTGGACTCCTCAGGTCATATTACCAGTTTTTAATCTTTAGTAGGAGTTCTACTGAGGAAAGTATTAAATGCATTTGTCATTTGTGTGATGCTTTCCCCTGTCTTCTTTAACTGTGTCTAGTTCGTTTTTTTAATATAACCGAAGCTCAGTCAGATGGATTTCCTCTCCTAAAATTCTATTAATAAATGCATGCTGCTGCAATCCAACAGAAATACAGAACAGAATAAAAATGAATGTTGCATAAATGCAAATGTGGTGTAGTCCTTTCTTCCTTTACAATGTAATGTGACTTACTACTGTATTGGCACAGTCTTCCTGTCGGCAACAATGGCTGTTCGCTGACTGGTGCTGTTGGAAACAGATTTCTCTTCAGTATATATTTATTCACCTGGTTCATTGGCTCGTCCTGCTCTATCTCTCAACTGAAAGCTTACACCTGTTCATTTCGTCCCCTGAATGCTTGGAATACAAAGCTTCAGCCCAACCCACTGATGTTGCATGGTCTGTTGTTGCTTTCTGGATGAGTCCACTTCCACCTGCTGCCTCCCTGCATCCAGTTTGCTGTAAGTGCTCCCCAGCGATCAGCAGCAAGCGGCATAATCAAGCAGGTGGCTTGTTAGAATTTTCAGGGGAGCGGAGCACATGTTTTAGAACATGTCTGGCAGCAACTTATTTTTCACACTCAGCAACGGCCAGATTGAACTGTATCCATTTCCCCTTTCCTAGGCCACTTTTGGCTTTTTACATGTTTTCCTCTCTATTACTAGACTGGAGTCTATTTTATTAATGCATTTGTATATATGTTGCACTCTTATTTCTGAAAGTTCACAAAATACACGGCTGCTGCACTTTTTACACTATATTCTGTGAAGCGCTTTGCGACATCTCAACGACATGGTAAGGCACTATATTAAATGCAAGGATTATTATATCCTTTGAAGCACTTTAAGATGTCCTCCCTAGTTGAAAGGCACCATTAAGTGTATGGATTATTATTAAACCATTGGAAATGGAATTTCCATACATCAGATGAAGATATCTATACCTGGATAGATTATGGTTTGGGTTAGTCTGGTTGTTTGATTTTTATTTTGTGTACGTTCCACCATAGCCTTAAAAATCTGTTTCTCTTCAAAGCATTCTGTGAGGAAGGCTGCAGGAATGGAGGAAGCTGTGTTGCACCTAACTCGTGTGCCTGCCCTCCTGGGTTTAAAGGACGTGGCTGCCAGACAGGTAAGATAATCTTTATTCAATGATTGTGTGTCCCATTAGGAAAGTAACACAAGTGTTTCAAGTCAACGTGCTATCTATTTAGTTCAGACACCATTCATTTTTAACTCCCAAGGAAAAACAACTCTGACTAAACCAATGGTACATGGGCGCTGTTTATTTTCCATGCGTTAGTGTAAAATCTATCTCTAATTGGCCTCTTGAACAGTTCAGTTAAGTAGCTTCATGTACCACAGTGTAAATTAAGAAAGAAAAGAACTGTTTCCTGGTTTGCGTTAGACTTCACCATCTTTGGTCAATTAGTAATTTGTTTCATCAAACAGGATATTACTGAGATTTACTCTCTTTTCCAGGTGTCCAGGTAAATGCAATAATAACCTTGATTCACAGACTCTGAGCATGTTGTTAAATTTGCAGATGGCATCAAATTGTGCATTTGAGGGGGGAGACTGTGGAATCAGAAAAGAGTACCCAACATCCTACAATTACTGCTCAGTCCTTGGAGTAATCAATAGCAAATTAAGTTTATTGCAAGCAAATGCAGGGCACTGTATTCAGTAAAAATACATGTACTCAGAGTTGGATGGATCTTCTAGGAGAAAAACTGGATGAAATCTAGAAGTGTTAATTAATCCATTGCTCACCCCAGTATAAAGCAACAATAAACAAGATATATGTTGGGCTACATTGCCAAGGTTGTGAAGGATACGTTCAAAACAAACACCAGGAAGATGAGAAGGTAGTGAATTGTATAAACAGGTTAACATTGAAAGATGCTTGAGGTCATGATATTGGACTCATTTAAAAAATGCTTGATGCTGTAAATGGGAAGAATTTGGTATTGATACTGTGGAAGGTGAGATCAAATAGGTATGAGAGCCTTCTCATCCAAACGTTTCTTGTGATGTTATGAATTTAGTTACCAAACACCACTGACAATGAGTTGTGTGTGAAGAGGTACATGAAATGTTAATGATAAATATGGTGTACCATTAAATACAATCAGTACCATGCCTAGGAGTTGAAACTGTTCCTTACAATTTTGGGGAAATTTATATTAATAGAAATGAGGTAGTAACCTTTAAAATATATAATTCTCGGGTATTTATTGCCTTAAGTATCATTTTCTTTTGCATCAATTGCTGCATATTTTCAGATTTTTATTGGTGAACTTTACTGGTTCGTGCATTGGCTGGAAATGTCACAATATATCAATGCACATTGTGAGGTACAAACCTCAATGAACATGTTAACTGTTTTATAAATAATAATAATCTTTCCATTTGATCTACTGTTTTGTGTACATCAGGAGGAAGTAAAGCATTCACAGAACTCACTGACTGTCAAGTGTGTGACTGCCTTTTGTGGGCAAATTCTATTATAACATTATCCTACAATGCAGCAATTTCACTGGTAGTTTTATTGAGGTAAATGTATTTCATATAAACTTTCCCACCAAAAGGTATTTTGCTTTCTTTATTGCCTCAATGAGAGATACCATAGTTAATGCCAATTATGTATCAATGGAAGTATTGTATTTTGATATTGAAAGTACATAAAGAGATAACAAAATCAGATAACCCCCACCACCCCACCACCCCGGTGGGGCTTTTAATAACTAGGATTATCCAAACTTGTTCTGGGTGGGATGTTGCAGAAAAATAATAACTAATTGAACATTATATGTAATGGGGGATGTTCAGAGCAGGCAACAAAATAAGACAGTTGAAAAACTTGAAGCTTTTTCATTATTATCAGTAATGTCACCCATGTGACACAGTCTTTCAACTAACACAACCGTTCTCTGTGAGAGGAATATTTACACACTTTATATATTGTTTTGCTGCAGAAAATATTCATTCTACCCCCAATTTACATAAAGACAGTCAAATTTCACAGATTCACAGAGATTTTATTTGTGTTGTAATTTTGTTTCTTGTTCATGTTCCAATTCTTGATTGCGTTGACTTTGTGCAGTTGTCCTTCAGCCAGTTCCACTCTGGCTGTGATTTGATGGCTGCAGCCATCCCTGATTCACACTGTCTGACAGGAACTGTGCTCAGTGGGAAACATAGGACTCTATAATGGATCCTTCCTCCCCTGAGATTGAAAACTGTGTCTGCCTTGAGCTCATTCACCTAATCGCCCAAATGCTAACAGCAAAGTAGTGCCCATGAAAAAGAGATATTCCTTCAACTTCAGTCAAGCACGTCAGTCAAAGCTTGTCGTTCACTGCTGCATTTGGCAACTAAATTTATTATCCTAAACTTGTTTTTCTTAATTAAAAATTCCTGTAATTTTCAAGAGAGTTTGCATTTCATAATGTAACAGTTTAGATAAGGTAATGAGCCATGCTATATATGACCACACGGCAAACACTGGTACACCGTATATGCTGAAGTTACATGAACAATTGCCAGGCGACTGATGCTTTTAATTGGGGAAACTGATGGCATTCTGCAAGTGAGATTATCACCCATGGCTCTTCATCATTAGACACTCTGAGATTGTGAATTGACCTTGTGAACTCCTTAACACCTTCCTCGCTTTTCCTTATCTTTTATCTTCTTTTTAAAAACGTAATGTTTAAATACTACTTGATGTAGAATAAGTAGATGTATAATAATTGCACCAATATAATGATAGGGTCATTTTCAAGGGTGTTTTAGGCTGGATCCAACTTGTGCTGTACCTGATCTGGGAGTGCTTGACGTTGGCACTGGGTGAAATATTGGAACTGTTTCACTATTCTTTATGGTACCTGAACCTTAAAGAGAATAAAATATTAATTAAAAATCTCATCTTTAAATCTCTACATGTTCTGCATCCTAAAGGTTGTATGGTGCTATAACTGGAACGGCATAAAGGCTTTGAGATGCAGATGGAGAGTGATGGGCATGTTGTCGAGTGTTTTTTTTAAATATATACAGATGTGCAATGTCTCAAATAGAGAGGGATTGTAAAGATGGCATCTTAAATCAGAGGTTATGGAAAGTCAAAGTAAATAGATAAACCTTTCTTGGAAAAGAATACTGAAATTTGGAGAGATGTGTTCGTTTGCATGGAACTTAAGTATATTGGAATAGCAATGAGGTAAAAGGGGAGAATCCCCCTACCAGAGATCGATCGTGAACATTTGTTTGAAAATCAAACTAAATTCAGAATGATAAAAATACCACCTTTGCTGCTGAAGATTCAGTGTGGTAGTATATTCAGCTTATAATGAACTAGGCAGCCTCCAGCTATGGTTGGTTTCACTTTAATATCAGGAGACAAAGGCTTTGTCACACCAAGACATTGAAAATATGCTAACATTCTCTTCCTGACATAGCTTCCATTCATGTATCAGTAAAGCTCAGGTTAGCCTTTAATGTTAGTGTATGGTACATGTTAACATTGGCCTTTGCCAACATTCATAAATTCTGTGATACATTTCTGTAATTCACCATGTCTAAAGGAGAACAAATGTATGTCCTCAATTTAATGGTGTCAGTGGTGGGGGGTGGGATTAATGTGCGAACCTGTGATTAAAGGAGGAATAGACTAAACCCCTTCACTGAGAGAATACCAATAATATTCTACCTAAATTTTGTGTGTTTCTCAGCAATTAGTCTATTATTCTTACAATGTTTGACTGCATCAGCTTAATGTGCTCCTTATTTGAAAACTTCTGTGCAAATTTTGTGGAATATGTAAGTGGGAAGATGAATAGACGGTAATGTAATTCTGTAGGTAATTGCTAGTACCTGGCTTGTTAGCCCAGCATCATACTTTACAACTGTAGAACTGTATGACACAGTATAATACAAATGGGCCATTCGGCTCATTTTTCCATGTCTGTGTTTGCTCTTTCAAGAAGGAGCTTCAGGTATCTTTACATGGACTGCATTGGAGTTTTAGCTTAAAACGTGCTCAAAGTTCTGATGTGAGATCTGAACCTACAACCTTATGATTTTGAGACATTTGGAGGGATGTAGGGAAAAATATTTTTGTGGGTTGGTCAAATAGTCAAATACAAGGGCCAAGGCTGGGTAAATACATCAGTTTTGTTCCAGTAGATGGTTCCTTCTCACAACTTATTGTGTCCAAATTGAAGGGATGTGATTTGAAACCTTGGTCTTTACCGCTGAATGGGCCGTGATTTGTCTTAGCACAGAATGCGATGAAATTAAAATGTGAGCCTAAGCATGAAAGATCTCGACAATGTATTTTGTTTGATCACCGCTGCAGTGTATTTCATTGAGACCTAAAAGGACCTCTGTGACAGGCTGGGAGGCTGCTGGCTGGTGGGTGTTCTTCAAAAGAATTGTCTTGTATATGTTTCTGTTCCCCTTTTGCTCTCTTTTCCATTTAATGAAAGTTCTTAAACCCTTTCCAATCCCTCTTGAGCTTTGACACAGTGGTGAGAAATATTCCCTTTCCTGAGTTGCTTGCTCTGTGGTCCTAACATCTCCAATCTTTCCATTGTTTCAACTGTCAGAAAAAATTATACTCTTGTCTGGTGAAGCATTTTTTTTAATTTCTCCCTGTCAATTTTCCTCCTTATCCCATTAGTTCTGTTTTCCATACATGGAAATTTTGAAATCCATTAATGTTAGATATTATGCATGGATTTAGAAAAAAACAATTCCTTTTGATCTCATCCCTAACAAATCATCTGACGGAGGCAAACAACCAAAGTAAAACCTGTATGAAAGGAAAATAAAATTGCAAAAATTCTCTTGACTCCTGAAGTTAATTGAGCAAAAATTCTAGAATATCATCTAATGCTACAATATACATTATTCAATCTTGACATTTCCGCAATCCCAACAGGACTGGCATCATAGCATTGCTTAAAGTATTTCATCATCTGTAGCCTGTTCGCATCCAACCAAACTGTGCATATGCTTTCATTTGCATACCATTATGAGATGATTTACATCTCTTATTTTGATTGGTATTGCTATGTTGGGAAGTGCAATTTGTCCATGACAAAGTACCAATACAGGAGCTGGGACCAT